AAACCTAGTCGATTTTGAGAAAGGCATCCATTGCATCCAGCCATTTGATCAGTTGGAGTTTTGACCCGTGCTTCACTGAGAAAAGTTGTCAAAACGAATTCCAATCTCTTCAATAGGAAGTTCGTCAAGGTCAAACCCGTGCGTTGTTGCAAGTTCTTGTATCGATCAAAAGTGATCAATCCCTTCGGACGAGGTCCTCATTTTGACAAACGTCTCTTCTCATTCCAGCGGGCCAAATTTTTCAAATTATTTTTCACTCCATAAGCTGATTGGATCCATCAGGTATTGTATAGTGCCTGCTCTGGAGGATTGCATTTTCATGCTAGGCCTACCCTTGGCACAAAAAGGGTTCCCCCATAAGGCATGCATATCGATTTTATATTTTTGCTTACTAACTCAGGGTATTTTTCTTTTGTTTTCCCCCCTCCCCCTGCATTCGCAAAAATACTCAAATAAAGGAAAAATATTTTTCTATATCTGATGACACTTTTGATCTAATAAAGTGTCAAAATTGCAAGTATTGTGTGATTCTTGGGCAGATTCTACAATGAAAACATAACTGATCTATCTGAAAGCTCTACGCTAAAGCCTCTGAGAGATTTTGTAATTATTTTTCAAAGAAAAATTCTATTTATTTGATTTGTTAATACATTTTGTTCCAAAAGAAAATGAGATGAAAAGTGTATATGTGGAGCTCTTCACAAGTTCCTCTCTTCTCATTGTATTATGACTGAACGTCAAATTTTGTTTTAATCTTGTTAGTAATAAAGTTTTGAACAATTATTGTTTTGTGTATATTCATGTACATTTCATTCTTTTGCTCATTGGAGATTTCATGATGAACTTTAAGAAATAAGATCAAATTGAGATTTTTTCGACCTCTGGCCTGAAAATTCACAAGTGTCTGCTTTCAAAAATCCTTACGTACACCAGATTGTTGATCCGAGTCATCCAATAAGAGTGCTAAAAAAAAAAAAACTCAAAAGGCCCAATGAGATACCTTTTCTCCTGCACTTAATCCCAAAATAAAGTCAGTCACATTGATTGATAAATTGGGGCAACTTTTGCTTGAAAATATCCGCGGTGTCTAATCTGATTCAATCACATCTAAGTGAAAGCAAAAATGTGCATTATTCTTGTTTGTCTGGGAAATTTGGTATGATACTTCGAGCATTCTTTTCTCTACCTATACACATTTTATCATTTGTTCTCCCATTTGAGCCTTTGAAAGAATAATCTCGTTTCAAATAAGAGTCCTAATGATCACTACCCTACATTGAAAAATTTTAAATATTAAAAGGGGAATGGATTCTCAACGACCATTTCGTTATTTTGGTTGTCATGAAGTGTAAGAATGACGTTTTGGCCGTCGTTTCTACAACCTAAACACTGATTACCCCTTGCATCCCTATTTGAGCAAAAATTGGTGGTTCTTTTTCGAGTGCACATATGATCGCACCCCACATTGGGGAAGGAGATTGGAGAATTTTGAAAAAAAAGGAAAAGAAAAAGGGGAAAGAGAACTGCAAGTTGGGGAAATTTGATTCCACTTGGGTTCCAATTTTGAAAAAAGAAAAGGAAGAGTTTTGTCCGCGTGGATAGCCTATGTTTCACAAATATGGATGAACTAGGGTCTTCCTCAGTCAGTTAATTCAGATACATGCAAAAAATTTCGCATTAATGAAAGTTTCCTTTCAGAGTTATTGTAAGGAACGGAATACAAGTCAGGCCATCTCCTTTTCCAATCAAACATTCTATCCCTAGTTATCCCTTTTGAGCCTTCAGAATAAATTATTTCGTTTGGCAACCCCTGAGAATCGCAAACCCCACACTGGGGCAAGTTTGAGTTGAAAAGGAAAATTTCAAGAAGTGGAAAAAGTGAAATGCAACAAAATCAAAAGCAAAAGAAGAAAAAAGAACCTCAGTTCAAAAATAATTGGGGCAAATTTTGTGAAAGTTCAAAAGAATGGCGAAAGGCCGAAAAGTCAAAACAAGAGGAAAAATGAAAGTGAAAAAACCTCAATTGAGCGTAAACTGGGGCAAATCTGATTTAGCCCTAAAACAGGGTTGGCGCGCAACAATGCGATCTCAGACTCTTCAAACCGCTTTTGAAATCCGTTTTCAAGCCTTAACTTTTCTAAGCACCCCACCTGACCCCATTACAAAGCCGAAAGTCCTGACTTCTGTTTTTTGCAATGGCCCTATCAAGAAAATTTCTGATGCCAAAAAATTTTAGCTGTATTTCTGAATTGCTTGGGTATGGGGCTGACGCTACTCACCATGAGAAAACCCGCCAAGTTGGGGGAAAAGAAAAGGAAAGCGGAAAAACAAAGCAAGAAAAGAAAATGCAAAAATTGACGTTGAAACCCCTGGTGAATGATGAGAAGAATGTAAACAAAGTCTGAGATCTGTGAGTTCAAAATAGGGGCAATTTTAGAAAAATGCGATCTTCGGTGCAATGTCCTTGAAAGTTTTATTCTTTAGCTATCGTTTTCAAGCCAAATTACAAGCTAATAAGGTCCATCGTTGACTTATTCTTTAATGACAACCCAAAGTGAGGATTATGCTCATAAGAAATCCATCGATCACTCATGATCATAAGGGTATAACCAGTTTTCGCATGTTTAGCTATCGTTTCTACCCATTTGTTGCAAGCTTAAAGCTTACATGTTGACTCAATTTTCTTAAGAAATAAGGGTGACAAACTATTTGCTTTCACTAAAATGTGGTATTGAAGGGATTACGTACCATTTGGACACAAGAATAAGACAAATCTTGACCTCCCATTTCCAAATCAGAAATAATGCCCCACTCGATTGCTCCTGAAAAATGAGCCAACAAAGAGGTGGTGATCCGTTACCCTTAGCACCGATGCTAAAAGTGAGGAAGAAATCTTCTGTAATTTGGTGTTATTCTGAGAGATTCAACATGAAATTTCTGCATGAACTCAACATTCAAATTTCTTCACGTTGTATATATGATTACTTTCTACATTTTGGAAGTAAATGGAAAGTCATCCAAACAAGTTTTTTGCAATCAAATGGGCCTATACTGGGGCAAAATTTTTATTTGCAAGATTTCACAAAATAAGCCCACACTGGGGCAAATTTTTTATAGTCCATTTGAGGATTTCGTCAAAGACTCAAGCAAGACTTTCAAATCAATCACGCTGCCTTTTTCATGAAAATTTGAGTGCATGTAAGCCCCCTATGCAGGTATTCATAGTTGAAATCGACGAAGGAGCATCCGGTGATGTGGAAAGCCGATGCCGAAGAAAGAGAAGAAAGAAGGGAAAAAGGGCCCTACACTGGGGGCAAATTATTTTTGAAAAAAGATTCTCTCGAAAAATCAGAAAAATTCAAAAGTCAAAAATCAAAAATCAAAGTTCAAACTTTTGTTTCTTGGAAAATCAAATTCAATTTCTTGTATCTTGACAAAATCAAATCCAATTTCTTGACCAATTGAATGGCAAGACTGGGTCTTATCCCGCTGACCATTCACAATGTCACGTTGGGTCTGGATTTCGTGCCGCCAACTTCACAAGGATCACGTTGGGACCGGGTTCATCCCGCCAACCTCAGCAGGACCGGGTTCTATCCCGCTGACCGTTCATATTTCGTTGGGACCGGGTTTCATCCCGCCAACCTCGGTAGGATCGGGTTCTATCCCGCTGACCGCTTATATCGTTTGGGACCGGGTTTTATCCCGCCAACCTTGGCAGGCTCGAGTTAATCCCACTGACCAATTTCATCACACTGGGGCAAATTTTTGAATAATTTTTCGAGCAAGTCTTACACAGTTTCTTCATACCTACCAACATTTCATTTTCATCGCCACTAGCCGTGGGTCAGTCCCACTAGTGAGCGTTTCACTTTTATCGCCACTAGCCGTGGGTCAGTCCCACTAGTGTGCATCATGATTTTTAAATTTCTGTCCGGGTCTATCCCGGGGTCTATCCCGTGGGTCTATCCCATTTACATTTCTGTCAGGGTCTATCCCGTGGGTCTATCCCATTTACATTTCTGTCAGGGTCTATCTGATAGGCTGCAATTTATCTTTTTATTTTATTATTATTTTCCCCTATTACCTGACTTGATGTAGATTAATTACTGGATTCTACTCATTTTTCTTAATTTACGTATATTTCAGGGAGTAGAACGAAAATATGATAACAGATGCCAAATTGAAAGGAAAAGATTTTAGATGATAAAGCTTGTCCCAGGGGCACTTTTGGGAGAGAAGATGTCACGCCCATTTTGGTAATTTTCGCGAAGAAACGACGGACGGAGGGATTCTCTTCCTGTTGATGTGCGCCGCAATTAAAAGGGGGGAAGAAGAAGGAAGTGAGAGAGTTAGTTTTTTCCCTTGGTTCTGGCCGGCTGTAACTGAGGAGAAAGGCTTAACTTTTGTTTTCCTTGTTGGACTTTTTGACCAAGGAACTCCTGCGCATGGCAGGAGAGCTTAGCTCTAGACTTTTCCTTTGTAGTTTATGGTAGTTTTCCATTTTGGCTGCTGGACACGCATGACAGGAGAAAGGAATTGAAGTCCACTTTCTTTGACTTTTCCTTATTGTACTTCTGGAGTGAATTTGCTTTACGAATGCTAGGAACAATTAGAAAGCTTCAATTGTTACCCGTGCCTTACATTTGCTTTCTAAGTGTTTGACGAATTGCGGCTCTTGAAATACATACAATGGCTGACACCCTGTCAATTTTTGGCGCCGTTGCCGGGGACTGGCGTTATTATTTGTTTCTTTTTAAATTCATTTTTATTTTTGTCCTAATTTGCTGGTTTTCTTCTAGTGTATGCCTCGATCTTCTCGCACAGGTGATTTGATTTTTGACCCTGAGGTAGAGAAGACCGCGCGTAGAACGAGAAAGGAAACCAGACAGCTCAGAGAAGAGCACTCTAGTGCTACATCTCAAAGACCCGAGTCAGAAGTTGAACCAACAGATTCGTTTGGTAACACTTCGAGTGACTCTGACCAGGAGGAGTTCACCATGGCTAATGCACGAACATTAAGGGAGTTGGCTGCTCCTGATTTGACTCAGCAACCTTTATGCATAACTTTCCCCGCTTTAAATGACAACATTCCATTTGAACTAAAATCTGGTCTGATTCAGCTTTTACCCTCTTTTCATGGTTTACCAGGTGAAGAGCCGTATAAGCATCTGCAGGAGTTTGATGTCGTGTGCAATAGTATGAAACCCCCGGGAGTCACAGAAGAGCAGATAAAAATGAGGGCATTCCCCTTCTCCTTGAAAGATTCTGCGAATGACTGGCTTTACTACCTGTCACCAGGTAGCATCACCACGTGGGGCCAATTGAAGAAAAAATTTTTGGACAAATATTTTCCTGCGTCCAGGGCTGCAAGTCTAAGGAAAGAAATTTGTGGGATCAAGCAGCATCCAGGGGAGTCACTTTATGAGTATTGGGAACGGTATAAGAACCTGTTGCGCAGGTGCCCCCAACACCAAATAAGTGAGCAGTTGATCATACAATATTTTTATGAGGGGCTCATTTTTAGAGACAGGAGCATCATTGATGCTGCAAGTGGAGGGGCACTGGTGAACAAAACCCCTCAGGAAGCACGGGAGTTAATAGAGGGGATGGCAGAGAATTCACAGCAATTCAGTACAAGAGAGGATGTCCCAATACGTAGGGTGAATGAGGTAGAGACACCCTCTATACAGCAGCAGCTAAATGAGTTGACTGCGTTTGTTAGGCAACAGGCTGTGAGAAATGCATCACAAGCCAGGGTATGCGGGATTTGCACTGGTATAGGTCACTCTGCAGACATGTGCCCAATGATTCAGGAAGAAACTGCAGAACAGGTGAACATGGCTGACCACGCGCCCGCGCCAAGAAAACAGTACGACCCTTACTCGAGCACCTACAACCCCGGGTGGAGAGATCATCCCAACCTCAGTTATGGAGGGAATAGGCAACCCAACTTCACGCCGAACAGGCAATCTAACTTTGTGCCGAATAAGCCACCAGGGTACCAGCAGCAATACCAACCCCGACCACCTCCGCCCCCTCAATCTGGTTCATCTACGGAGGAGATGCTGAAACAAATAATGACAACCATGGCGCAAAATCAGCAAAGGACGGAGGCAGCTATTATGCAAAATCAGCAAAGGACGGACTCCGAAATGCATGACATAAGGAATCAGATAAGTCAAATGGCCACCAAAATTAACCGTTTGGAGTCCCAGAACCAAGGGAAGCTGCCATCTCAACCGGAGTTGAATCCGAAGAACGTGAGCGCAATGACCCTAAGGAATGGGAAAGAAATTCAGGGGCCTGAAACAGTGATTCCTAAGGACAAGGATGAAGAGAAGATCGAAAATGAGCTTGAAAGGGAGGACAGCAATGGTGCAAATCCAAAGGTACTTCCTGACCCAATAATTACAGTTAAAACTAACCCGCCTCATTTTCCTAGCAGGTTGGAAAAATCGAAGAAACAGGATAAGGAGAAGGAGATCTTGGAGGTTTTTCGCAAGGTTGAGATAAATATCCCCCTCTTAGACGCCATCAAACAAGTACCAAAATATGCCAAGTTCCTGAGGGACTTGTGTGTCAACCGAAGGCGATTGAGGGGGGATGAGAGGATCATTGTTGGGGAGAATGTGTCAGCGGTCCTGCAGAGAAAGCTCCCACCAAAGTGCGGAGACCCAGGTATGTTTACTATTTCCTGTAGGATAGGTAATACTGTGATCAGAAGGGCCATGTTGGATCTGGGAGCATCAATTAATGTCATGCCTAAGTCTATCTATGCTTCTCTGAAATTAGGTCCATTAAAAGAAACTGGAATAATCATTCAATTAGCTGACCGAACTAATGCATATCCTGACGGGTTGGTTGAAGATGTGTTGGTAAAAGTTAATGATTTGGTGTTTCCAACTGATTTTTATGTACTTGATATGGATGATGATCACTCCCCTGATCCCTCACCTTTGTTATTGGGTAGACCTTTTATGAGCACAGCACAAACGAAAATTGATGTTAATAAGGGTACCTTGTCCATGGAGTTTGATGGGGAAATTGTGCATTTTAATATTTTTGATACTATGAAGTACCCCTCGAACTCCAACTTTATCTCAGTTTTTTCTGTGAGTGCTATTGACCCTGTAGTGCAGGAAGTGTTTGAAACTGATGGCAGGGATGAGTTGGAGGTGGCTTTAACCAAGCACCTCGAGTTGGAGACAACTCCTCAGGTGGAGTGGAGTGAGGATTTAAAATGCATAATCGGTGCATTACACTCATTGCAGACCACCACGAAAAGGTATGAAGTCTTACCTATTTTTACTCCCGAGCCTCACCAGAGGGTATTGCCATCTGTGGTGCAGGCACCTGTACTGGAGTTGAAACCTCTACCAGAGCACCTGAAATATGCATATCTAGGTGATAATGAGACACTCCCGGTGATTATCTCATCGGCACTGTCAAAAATCCAGGAGGAGAAACTGATCCGGGTCCTTAGAGAGCATAAAGAGGCGATAGGTTGGACAATTACAGACATTAAGGGAATCAGCCCGGCCGTCTGTATGCATCGGATCAGACTAGAAGAGGATGCCAAACCTGTACGGCAGGCTCAAAGGAGGCTCAATCCCCTCAAGATGGAAGTTGTAAAGAAAGAAATCTTAAAATTGTTAGATGTGGGGATTATTTTTGCAATATCAGATAGCCCTTGGGTGAGTCCGGTCCAGGTAGTCCCGAAGAAAGCGGGAGTGACAGTGGAAGCCAACCAAACGGGTGAGCTCGTGTCAGTGCGCAAACCCACGGGATGGAGGCAGTGTATAGACTACCGTAGGCTAAACGCCGTCACTAAAAAGGACCATTTCCCTCTCCCTTTCATTGACCAAATGGTTGAACGTTTAGCTGGTAGAGCTTATTATTGCTTTTTGGATGGATTTTCAGGATACTTTCAGATAGCAATTGCCCCAGAGGATCAAGAGAAGACAACTTTCACGTGCCCGTTCGGGACCTTTGCCTACAGACGGATGCCATTCGGGTTATGCAATGCACCTGCAACATTTCAGAGGTGTATGGTAAGTATTTTTTCTGAATACGTGGAGAAAATTATTGAAGTTTTCATGGATGATTTCAGTGTGTATGGTGATAGTTTTGATACGTGTTTAGATAACCTGAAATTGATCCTGATAAGGTGTATAGAGACTAACCTTGTGCTTAATTGGAAAAAATGTCATTTTATGGTTGAGCACGGGATAGTCCTGGGTCATATTGTATCGTCTAAGGGCATAGAAGTTGACAAGGCTAAAATAGACATTATTTCTGCATTACCTTACCCCGCGAGTGTACGGGAGGTGCGTTCTTTTCTTGGACATGCAGGGTTTTATCGAAGGTTCCTCAAGGATTTTTCAAAAATTGGAGCCCCGTTGTTCCAACTCCTACAAAAGGATGTGACCTTCGAATTCAATGACAAATGTGAGAAGGCCTTCGACAAGTTGAAAGAATTGTTGACTTCACCCCCAATCATCCAGCCCCCTGACTGGAGTCTACCATTTGAGATTATGTGCGATGCCAGTGATCATGCCGTGGGGGCTGTGTTGGGGCAACGAGTAGGGAAGGCAGCTCAAGTCATCTATTATGCATCCCGAGCATTGAACGGAGCCCAGTTGAATTACTCCACCACTGAGAAGGAGCTTCTTGCAGTTATTTTTGCTTTAGAAAAATTCAGGTCATATTTGCTAGGTGCTAAAGTAATTGTATTTTCTGACCATGCAGCATTAAGGTACCTAATGACCAAGAAAGATGCCAAACCGAGGCTCATCAGGTGGATATTGCTACTGCAGGAATTTGACCTGGAGATACGGGATAAGAGGGGCTCAGAGAATTTAGTAGCTGACCATCTGAGTCGTATACCCGTTGGAGAGGATAATGAACCATTGAGGGATGCATTCCCTGAAGAGCACTTATTTTCTTTAAATTCTCAGTTGCCTTGGTATGCCGATCTGGTCAATTATTTGGTGACTGGTAATTTTCCTGCAGGTTGGCAAAAATCGAAGAGAGATAAATTGAAAAGCGACGCCAAGTATTTTATCTGGGACGACCCGTACCTATGGAAGAGGTGTGCAGATCAAGTGATGCGGAGATGTGTAAGTGAAGTGGAATTTCAATCGATTTTAGCTTTTTGTCATACTTTTGCTTGTGGAGGTCATTTCGGACTTAAGAGAACTGCTCATAAGGTTTTAGAAAGTGGATTTTATTGGCTTTCATTGTTTAAAGATGCCTATGTGTTTTGTAAGTCATGTGATCGCTGTCAAAGGGTCGGTAATATAGCCCGTAGGGATCAAATGCCCCAAGTCCCGTTGATTTTTGTTGAAATTTTTGATGTCTGGGGTATAGATTTCATGGGGCCTTTTCCTACTTCATTTGGTTTTTTATATATTTTGCTGGCAGTTGATTATGTGTCTAAATGGGTGGAGGCTAAGGCCACTCGAACTAATGACTCGAAAGTAGTTGCAGATTTTATCAGGTCTAATATTTTTGTGCGATTTGGAATGCCTAGAGCTATTGTCAGTGATAGGGGGACGCACTTTTGCAACAAAACCATAGCTGCGTTGTTTCGCAAGTATGGTGTACTCCACAGGGTCTCAACGTCATACCACCCTCAGACCAATGGTCAAGCGGAGGTGTCGAATCGGGAGATTAAGACCATTTTAGAGAAAATGGTGCGCCCTGATAGGAAAGATTGGAGCCAAAGGTTGGAGGACGCACTCTGGGCCTATCGGACGGCGTACAAGACTCCTATAGGGATGTCACCGTACAGGTTGGTATTTGGGAAGCCGTGTCACCTTCCAGTGGAGTTCGAGCACAAGGCTTTTTGGGCGATAAAGCAATGCAATATGAGTTTAGAGGAGGCCGGTGCTCAACGGAAGCTGGATTTGCAAGAGTTGGAGGAGATCCGGAACGAAGCATACGAAAACGCCTCGATTTATAAGGAGAAAAGCCGGGCATTTCATGACCAACAAATTTCAAGAAAAACGTTTGAAGTTGGTCAGAAGGTCCTCCTGTACCAATCCAGGCTCAAGTTATTCCCAGGTAAGCTACGTTCCCGTTGGATTGGACCTTTTATTGTTACTCACGTTTTCCCATATGGTGCAGTTGAAATCCGAAGTGCTAAGACAGACAACAAATTTGTGGTGAATGGACACCGTCTCAAATATTATTACGAAGGATTTTCAGGAAGAGAGGTGGAGACAATAAGGCTAGACGCACCACTGTGTCCTAATCAGTGATAGTTTACCATGTCTAGCCAAAGACATTAAAGAAAGGCGCTCATTGGGAGGCAACCCAATTGTTCCTTTTAGTTGGTTGTTCAATTTCGTGTAGTAGTTTAGAAGTGTTCTCCTGGAATTCGACTGATTTTGGGTTTCAGTTTTCGTTTTTGCTGATTTGTAGGTGCCCTTCAGTCATGACGTGCCCGCGTGGTGATGTGCAGGACGCTCACGATCAGAAAATTCTGAAACTTCTGGGAGCTCTCCTGCCCTCATGACGTGCCCGCGTCGCGTTCGCGGGAAAGGTAAGGATTCAAAAAAAAAAAAAAAAAGAGAAAGAAAAAAATAAAAAATTTTTTATTTAAAAAAAGGAAAATTATTTCCGTGGCTCAAAGAGCCTCATAATTGGTAGAAGAAAGAAAAGAAACATTTTTGACTAAAAAAAAAAACAAAAAAAAAAAGAAAAAAAAACACAGCAAGTTCTCTCTTTTCTTTTTCTTTTTTTTCTTTCTTCTTTCTTTCTTTTCTTTCTTCTTTCTTTCTCTCTTTCTTTTCCTTCTTTTCTTTTCTTTCGTTCTTCCCCCCCTGTTTCTTCTTCTTCTCCTCTTGCCCTAAATTCCTTCGCCCGCCACCCATCTCGACCGCAGCTGTCCGCCACCACCTCGCGAGCGTCGCTCGCCCGTTGGCACAGGACCAGCCACAGCCGCACGCCGCTGCGTGCCGCCGCGAGCTCTCTTCCTTCCTCTCTCCACTACCCACTGCCGCGCGCAAGGCCGCTGTTCTCCACCAGATCGCGCGCAGCCCAACCCCCTTCTCGCAAGCCGGTCCGCCGCCGCCAGGCCCACCGCCTCCCACGCCCGCAAGCGGAACCCAGCGCGCCACCCCCACTTCAGATCTCCGTGCCTCCACCCGATCCACACAGCCGCGCCACCATTCTGCCCTCTGTCCGCCGCTACCCAGCCAGCCGCGGCCCACCACTGCCGCACTCGACGCAGCTACCTCTGCGCACGCCGCCTTCCATTCCAGCTCTTCCTCTATACAGCCAACCACCCTAGGTATTTCACTCTTGCTCCCAATTTCTCAGTTGTGATTGGAGCCGCCTGGTTCAACTTTAGTTGGTGTGGGCAGTGTGTGATTTCTCTTCCATAGTCTACTCCACCAGTGGTACTGGTGGAATAAGTGGACTTCAATTGGGTATTTCGATTTGATTGGCTGAGTAATTATTCTGTTATCTTTCGGATTGATGGTTTTGAGTTGCGACTTTTCTTGGCCAACTGGAGCCATTTGTTGAAATTTTTTGGGTGAGCTGACATATTGTAGTCGTGAGTCAATGTGCTGAGGTCTAGTTTGCTTGTATTGCTGGAGGAATTATTGGGGTTTTACGGGGGCTTTGCTTGCGTTAATTTTGCTATTGCATATTGAGTTAAGATCCTGTGCCAGTTGACTTACTTTGTGGGGTTCATCTTGCACAATTTCATTGTTGGGGGGGACCTCTGACTGATTGCTTCAACTTTTGAAGTGGGAAGGCCTTGACTGGGCATCTTTAATTGCTGAAATCCTTCTTTTTGGTTCTTGATTGGGTTACTACTGGACATTCTTGCTTTGTTCTGCTGAGTTTCCTTTGCTAGTTACATTTGCTGGTTTCTATACCTGTTGAAGCTTCTTGTTGGTCTGAGTTCACTGTGGGAGGACATGGTGCGACCAAAATCCTCCTCTAGGTCTAGGACCTCTCAGTCTCAACCCCCTCCACAGGCCTCCATTCCTGTCAACTCACCGACCAACCTACCCTCTTCCTCTAGTGCTCGAACCCGTTTGGGTAGGGGTAGGGGTGCTCAGGTAGATACCCCTGCTCACTTTGGGGGGCACTTAACATTTACCAGACCCGCCGATCGGCAGAGATACGCTAAGGTCTGTGAGAGGCGTATTATACCCTGCAAATCTTGTCACAAAATCACTATGACTGCCCTGCGTATACGTGAGGAGGTCAATCAGATGTTTACCGCCATTGGGTGGTGCCCGTATCTTGATATCTCCTGCCCTGCTTTTGTTGAGCTGATTCGGGAGTTTTACTCCACCTTTGAGTTCGAGTTGCCTACGAGATACACCGTTGAAACACCAAATGTCATTCATTTCCGTCTAATGGGTAGGGAGTTCAACTTTTCCATTACCCATTTCAATCTGGCATTTGGATTTATCACGAGAGAGTATGCTGAAACTAGGGAGTATGCGGAGAGTGCCTGTGATTACATAGAACCATTTCTCTCCCAATACCATGATGTGTGGGAGGAAATGTCAGTTGATCGACACCGCTACGACCCTTCTAGGTCTAGGAGCTCCTTTCTTAAGGATCCTACTGCCCGCTATGTTCAGCGATTCTTAGCCTACAGCTACTCAGGGCGCAAGGACAGCTCCGGTATACTCTCTCGACCTGAGTTTTTCTTCCTCTGGAGTATGAAGAACAATATCAAGGTCAACTTGGGGTGTTGGTTGGCTGCACAGTTCAAGACTGTTTTGACCAAGAAGAACAAACCTCTGATTCTTGGGTCCTACATTACCCACTTGGCGACGCAGTTGGGAGTTCTTAGTCTGGAGGACCACGACTTACATTTGGCTTTCGAGATGGAGCTCCTGGACGTGAACTGCTTAGAGAAAATGGGAGTCGTCGAGCGCCTGCCCAATGGTTTCCACCAGTTTATCCCTCCAGGCCCAGTTCGAGCTCCGGGTGCACGGCCTTCAACGCAGGCGGGGCACTCTTCATTCCCTGGGTCGGCCGAGGACACCGCTGGGCCGTCATCTTCTACGCCACCTCCACCATATGGGTCAACTGAATGGCAACAACTCTGGGAGCGGGTTCAGAATTTGGAGGCTCGAATGCTCAACGTCGACCTCAATGTAGCGGGCATAGCACAGAATTTGGCGCAATTTCTGCATCATACGGGCTTTCCTTCTCCAGCTCCACCTCGCCCACCTCTTTGACCGGATTTCAGGGAAGTGTTGCTGTCCTCTCACCCACTTTTGTTGGTTATTTGTCACATTGAGGACAATGTGTCCTATAGGTGTGGGGGGGGCTAATGGGGTGCTAGTGTTTTTAGTTTTCTTTAGTTTTTAGTTTTATTTCTAGTTGCTCATTTTCTTTCTTTCTTCTTGGTGCTTATCTCTCCTGAAAAAAAAAACAGAAAAGGAAAAGAGAAAAAAATTGATTGGATGTTGGCTCATTGACTCTAATTCTACTTTTGCCAAGTTTTTAAAATAAGTATGTATCGGGTTGATGTGGTTGGATCCAAGATATCTCCTTGGTGAATATCGGATTGCTTGGCTCTTTTGATTTCTTTGTTAACTTTTCTAGGCGTTGGGAATGACTGTTGGCATTTTAAGGTGAACTGGTCCAATATTGACTCCAGTTCTCCATGTTTGGCAATAATGAGGCGAGCTGCCCCTATGCTTAGTTGCTAGTGTTGGTATTTCGTGTTTTTGGCTTTGTTTGGCTGTGAATAATCTGGACTGTACTCCGCTATTAGTCACTACTGAGTAACCGGGATCTGCACCTAAAAGTGTCGATTCTCGCGTCAAAAGGTGGTACTTTCTATGAGTACGTGGTCGTATAGCGGTAGAAGCTGAGTAACCGGACTCCTTCATCTAAAAATGTTGGAGTTCACGTCAAAAGGCTCCGGCGGCTAGAGACTAAGTCTTCTTGTGTCAAATATTATGATTGCTTGAAAAAACGTAAAACAAAAAAAAGAAAAAGAAAAAAAGAGAATAAATAATAGGAGAGCTTGCTGGTTTATGGACTTAATATGGGGACTTGTGTGAATATTTGGACCGTTAGCTGATAAATGTTGCATGCCATTCCTTTTCCTTAGATTAGTTAATTTGGAAATTGAAGGAGCTTGTGGTTTAGAGGCTAACTGGGGGGATGCCTCTCGGATTTTAATTACTAGTGCCCGATATGTGGTTCTTTCTTGAATATCTTGGCAATTTGGTAGATTGGGCAATGACCATTATCGAATTTTGGTGTCTTATGCTTGAGGACAAGCATGGTTTAGGTGTGGGGGGAATTGATAGGCTGCAATTTATCTATTTATTTTATTATTATTTTCCCCTATTACCTGACTTGATGTGGATTAATTGCTGGATTCTACTCATTTTTCTTAATTTACGTATATTTCAGGGAGGAGAACGAAAATATGATAATAGATGCCAAATTGAAAGGAAAAGATTTCAGATGATAAAGCTTGTCCCAGGGGCACTTTTGGGAGAGAAGATGTCACGCTCATTTTGGTAATTTTCGCGAAGAAACGACGGACGGAGGGATTCTCTTCCTGTTGATGTGCGCCGCAATTAAAAGGAGGGAAGAAGAAGGAAGTGAGAGAGTTAGTTTTTTCCCTTGGTTCTGGCCGGCTGTAGCTGAGGAAAAAGGCTTAACTTTTGTTTTCCTTGTTGGACTTTTTGACCAAGGAACTCCTGCGCATGGCAGGAGAGCTTAGCTCTAGACTTTTCCTTTGTAGTTTATGGTAGTTTTCCATTTTGGCTGCTGGACACGCATGACAGGAGAAAGGAATTGAAGCCCACTTTCTTTGACTTTTCCTTATTGTACTTCTGAAGTGAATTTGCTTTACGAATGCTAGGAACAATTAGAAAGCTTCAATTGTTACCCGTGCCTTACATTTGCTTTCTAAGTGTTTGACGAATTGCGGCTCTTGAAATACATACAATGGCCGTGACTTTAGCTGAAATTTCCCGCGGGCTTAGTCCATCCAATATGAGCTAATCCCCTCGTTCTAGTCAAGAAACGACGGATGCTTTGGGTCATCTGAAAATTGTGAGATCGATTTAATTTAATCTTTCCCTTTTATTTATTGGTATTCGTGTATTCCCTGATTACTATGCTTATGATTATTTAATTAGTTGATTGTCTTGGATCCGGATAATTAATTGGTTTGGTAATCTATTGTCAATTGGGGTATTAAATCCGTAATTGTTTAACTACCTCAAAATAGCGACAATTGGCACAATTAGATTCG